ACCAGGAACGACTGACCACAACCAGGGACCCAGCACGAGCTGGCCACACAGGAGGCCAGGCACGACACGGCCACGACCAGGGACCCAGCACGAGCCAGCCACACCGGAGGCCAGGCACGAGCCGGCCACACCGGAGGCCAGGCACGACACGGCCATGACCAGGGACCCAGCATGAGCCGGCCACACCAGAGGCCAGGCACGACACGGCCACAAGCAGGGACCCAGCACAAGCCAGCTACACAGGAGGCCAGGCACGACTTGGCCACGGCCAGGGACCCAGCACGAGCTGGCCACACCGGAGGCCAGGCACGACACGGCCACGACCAGGGACCCAGCACAAGCTGGCCACACAGGAGGCCAGGCACGACTTGGCCACGAGCAGGGACCCAGCACAAGCCAGCCACACCGGAGGCCAGGCACGACATGGCCATGAGCAGAGACCCAGCAGGGGCCGGCCACACCAGAGGCCAGGCACGACATGGCCACGACCAGGGACCCAGCACGAGCCGGCCACACAGGAGGCCAGGCACGACAAGGCCACGAGCAGGGACCCAGCATGAGCCGGCCACACAGGTGGCCAGGCATAATGCGCCATGACCAGTGAACTTCTCAGAGAAAGTGTGCAGTGTCCAGGTTTTGTTTACCCCACCCCACCCTCTGCACCCTGAAGCCTTCTGAATGCCCTAAAGACTCCAATTCAATGTAGAGATTGCTGTAAGATTATAATTTGGATTTTGTAGCAGGCATTCAAGATGCCCAACCTCCACACTGGACTGCTGGGGTTCTTGACCCAGATCCAGAACCCTGGAGGTAGCAGGTGTTGGCTCATGCTCCCACAGTGGAAACCTGGACCAGGATCCTGGCTCCCCGGCGGTTAGAGGTATTTAAGGACGAGCCAGCAGATGCGCATGCTCTGCCTTCCCCTCTCTTTATCCCTCACCCTGTGCTTCTCAAACAGAACGTTCAAGAACCTAGATTTTCACCAAGGGTTATTTGCAGTTTCAGTGAGATTTCAGAAATCTTGCAAAAAGCCACAGAGTCAAGTGCCTTCATTCTTAAGGCTATGCAATAAACATGACACTCCTTTATAAACTAATTTAAAGATACATAGTACAGTTGCTCACTTAGTTTATATATTAGGAATAATTTTTTTTTTAAAAAAAGCTTATTCATTTATTTGAAAGAGTTGCACAAAGGGAGATACAGTCTTCCATCTGCTGGTTCATAACCCCAGACGGTTGGAATGGCCAGGCCTGGGTCAGGCCAAAGATAGAAGCCAGCAGCTTCTTCCAGGTCTCCCACATGGGTCAGAAGCCCAAGCCTGTGGGTCGTCTTCTGCTGCTTTCCCATGCACAGTAGCAGTGAGATGGATTGGAAATGGAGCAAGCGGGACCCAAACCAGTGCCCATTTGGGATATTGGTGTTTTAGGTGGCAGCTCTATCTACAAGCCAGTGCCAGCCACAGGAAGATTGACTTTTTAATCCTACAAGCAAACCCTGACCTAAAAATGTCAGTGCAGAGAGATGAAGGCAGAAAACCTTTAAACACTGCATCTGCCTCTGTCCCTGCTTCACGTGACTGGGGAGCAGGGGCATGGGGACTCAGATGGTAGAAGTTGGTAGAAGGTGACCCACCAGGTCACACAACACTCATGAGTTCCAAGGGACATGAGTGGGTGCAAGGCTGATTCTGGCTATTCAGTGTTTCCTTTAAATAGTCAGCCAGTTATCGTAGATGTGGATTTAAATGTAGCTGTGACGTCACTGGATAAAACAGAGGCAAGACCTCATGACTGTGTCACAGGCACAAAGTGTCCTTGCCACCAAAGATGTCCACTTCTGTATCCCTTAAACCTCTGGCAAGGGGAAGGAAGGCCACAGGAGGAACAGACAACCTGGAAGCTGAGATAACCCTCAATGATTCATGCGGGCTCCATAGCATCCCAGGGGCTCTGAATGGAGGAGCAGTGGGCACAGAGGGGTCCCACGTGATATGAAAATGACTGAACTCATTTGCTGGTTTTGAAAAGCGTGGAGGAAGGACCACAAGTCAAGACACACAGGCCAGAGGCTGGGAAAGCCCAGGGAATAAATCCTGCCAGAGCTGACTGAACAGCATGGCACCTTGTTGATAGTTTGGCGTTGGTCTGCGGGGGCCAGAGTCAGACCTCTGGCCTTCACAACTGCAGGGCAATGCATCTGTGTTGAAGCCACCAAATTTGTGCAGCAATGGAAAAGCTAATGTACTGAGCCAGCATTGTGGTATTATAATCTATCAATAACAAATAAGGAAACTGGAGGTCTTAAAAGCTCCCAGCTTTGCAATACTGTAATAAGACTTGTTGCTGACAGGGTGTCAGCCCACCTGTTCACTGTGGGCCAAGTGACAGCGAACGTGACCTTCAGCCTACCAGCTTCCTTGCACGGTCAGTGGTGATGACACAGGCTGGACCAGTAGCCCATTCTGCACTGCCTCCCAGAGAGGGGAGTGTCCAGTTACCCATCGTGGAGCGCTCTCCTGGGTGCAGGGTACACTTCCCTGACCCTGCTCTGGGCTCAGTCTCGTGACTGGAAGGTACCGCCCACTGGCTGTTCTGCACGTCTGCCACCAGGGAGGGATGGACATGCCTGGTCTAGCCCAACAGTGCGAGCAGGAGAACGTGAGCTCCATGGGCTCGAGCTGAGCGTCCTAGCGGAACCCACTGGACTCTTGGCTGCCCCAGAAAGGTGAGCCAAATGCTGCTGAGAGTGTGACTGTTCAGTGGTCGGAGTGAACTGCTGCTGCTGGCATAGATGCCAGTCCATAGCTGATGGCCCAAAGTCTAAGACTGCAAAACACACCTGGGGACTCCAGTCTTCCTCATTGCCCCAGAGAAGAGACAAAGGTGGAAGAGGATGTTTATCTGCGGCACTTTCTGCATTTTTCCTCCTTCCTCCTTTCTTCTCTCTTGCCCCCATAGGACGCTGCCCATCTCCTGGCTACCTGGAGCCCACACCTTCGTCACTCCTCCTTCCCTGCCCCTGCTGGGAGAATGAAGACAGGTGGAAGGTTCCACACTAGGAGTCAAGCTTGGCCACCTTCCAGTCCATGCACCGTCCTTGGCCAAGCGTGGAAGGGATCCTTGCAGCCCAGGCAGCTGTGTCAAGCACACAGAAATCCAGGGACAGACACGCTTTTATCCCTTTCTTAGAAAGGTGGCATTGTGCCATAGCTGGTTAGGTCACTGGTTGGGACATCGGCCTCAGAACGCTTGGTCTGAGTCCCAGCCACTCCAATCCAGCGTCTTTCGAATGCACCTGGGAGACAGTCACTCAAACGGAGGACCAGGATGTAGTTCCTGCCTTCTGGCTTCAGGCCAGCTCGGCATGGGCTGGCTACTGTGGGTATTTCAGAAGTGGGCTAGTTGATGAAAGATTTCATTCTACCTTTCAAAAAAATAAATCTTTACAAATTAAACATGATGTTGCTAAGAGACATTGGGGTGGGACGGCTAGGGGTAGTGTGGGAGGCAGTGCTGCAGCTCTGGGGGCTGGGGAACATTCTGATGATGGCCTGACGATGGGAGAGCATGCTTCACTCCACCGGCTTTTAGGAGATCATGCAAAGGTCAGCAGAGGGTGAGGCTGTGGCTGGTGGTCGGGGCCCTGGACTCTGCCCAGGCGTCAGGGCCCAGGCAGGTGAGCACGAAGGCCCACGAACCTCTGGGAATCTGGCAGGGCCCAGACTCACCAGGGTGCTCAGGTCTCAGTCATGCTGCCTGGAAACAAGGGCAAGCCGTGGCCCAGCGTCCAGCAGGAACACCCATGGGCCGAGGGGGTTTTCCCAAGTTCCACTAGAGGCTGGGGTGGGAACTGGCCCAGCACCAGCAACCAGGGCCCCAGGGGGGCAGTGGCCGCAGTGTGGCTCCGCTGCGCGGGGGTCTCGGGGATGGGGCGTCCCCTACAGTGCTGCAGTCGGAAGCCCGCAGCACAAACCCAGAGTGTGGCCCGAACGCGCCAGCCCCGCTCCCCTCCCGCGGGAAGAATTCTACAGCCACTTTCCAGAGAAGCAGGCAGAAAGTTTACCCAGGGGGCAGGGAGACGCCAGCGCAACGGGCCAGCCCTGGGGAAAGCAGGCGATGCGCGCGGCCGGCCGGGCAGGAGCGGAGCGCGCACCGGAGCGCCGGCTGCACCGCTCCCCAGCCCCACACCCCGGATCGCCGGCCGCGCACCGGACAGCGAGCGCCCGGCGCGCCTCCCCTCCGCCGCCCGGCTCGGACGCCGACGCGGCGCGGACTACAAGTCCCAGGAAGCCCAGAGGCGGCGCGGGGCGGGGCCTGGCGCAATTCCCCGGGATCCGGCGCGCTGGGAAGCGCCGAGGAGGACGCAGCTGCGGCCGGAGGGCGGCGAGCGCGCGGGCGGGCGGGCGGCCGGGGGCGGGGCCGACGTGGGCCGGGGCCCTGCGTGCCGGGGAGGGGGCAGGCCGGCCGGGCAGGCGGCGGGCGGCGCTCGGAGCGGGCTCGGCGGCTTGCACGGCGCCTGCGGCTCGGTCCCTGCTCGGCGGACGGCGCGCAGCGGACTCGGCGCGCAGGGAGGCGCAGCACGCAGCGCGCAGACCCACGCCGCGGCCGGGCGCTCGGAGCGGCGCGGCCACTGCCCGGGGGCGGCCCTGGGCCCCGGCGCTCGGTGCGCGGCGCCTGCCTGGGCTTTAATGGCTGCTCGGCCGGGCAGCGCCTAGGGCTGGAAGGCGGCTGCGGCGCAGGAAGGCGCCCGAGCGAACCTCCTGCCGGGGCCGGCCGCGCCCGCCGTGGCGCGCTCCATGGGGGCCCGCTGACCCGGGGCGCCGGGGCCCGCTCGCTCGCCGGCTGCGCGTCCCGGCCATGAACTGAGCCCCGCGGGCCGGCCCCGCGCCTCTTCTCCGCCTGCGCCTTTCTTCTCGCGTCTCCTCCGCGCGCCGCCGGCGGGCCCGGCTCCCCGGGGGCTGCGGCGCCCCGGGCTCGGAGGCCCGCGGGCCCCCGGGGCGCGGGGCGGCGGCGGCGGGGGGCGCGCGCCTGCACCATGAACTACCAGCAGCAGCTGGCCAACTCGGCTGCCATCCGGGCCGAGATCCAGCGCTTCGAGTCGGTCCACCCCAACATCTACTCCATCTACGAGCTGCTGGAGCGCGTGGAGGAGCCGGTGCTGCAGAATCAGATCCGGGAGCACGTCATTGCCATCGAAGGTGAGAGCCCGAACGGCGCGGCGGAGAGCGCGCGGGTGCCCGCCGGTGGCCACTCGCGTGTCCCCCTGCCTCCCTTCCCTGTCTACGCGCGCACGGCCCGGGTAGCTGGCCGGGAAGACAGGTCGTCAGCGTTAATTTGGTAATGGACAATGGAGTCTCCCCGGTGAGAAAGTGGCTCCGTGCTAGCGCCTCTTGGGCAGCGCGAGTGGCGGGGCCCAGCTCATTCCTGGGCTGGACGCAGCTGGAGGGGTTGGCACTAGCCCACGAGTGACAGGCAGGTTACCGGGCTGGGGTCTGAGCATCTTGCTGGACGTGGAGAAACGCGTTCAGACAAATGGGTTTCAGCTGCTGGAGATAAGGGTCCGGCCGGCGAGTTTGGGCAGAGCGGAGCTGTCCCTCTGATGTGTCAGCCAGTTTTAGGGGTGCGGTGGGAGCTGTTGAACTTTGGTGCTGCAGGCAGCTAGCTGAGAGGCAGCGATGTGGCCAGGGCCCCTGTCTGCAGCGTGTTCTGGGGTCAACCAAGAATGCTGCCAGGCTTCCGGGTGACCCCATTGAGGGGCTCGTTTCTCTGAGCCTGGTGTGAAGGATGTTGGCTTGGGAGCCCGGCTCCAGGGCCCCTGGCTGGAGCCTGGCAGGGGAGATGCAGCAGCAGAGCCCAGCCTCTGGTGTCTCCTGGCTCTGCTGCCGGGCACCTATCCGTTCCTTGCTTTGTCCTCGAGACTCAGCTGGGGAGAGCAGGTGACCCGTCACTGTAGGACGTGGGGCCAGCCCCAGCCCACCGGCAGTCCAGTGCTGGGAGCAAGCCAGCAGGGGAACTGGTTGGACAACCGTGGGGGGTGGTCTGAGGCTGGCAGCAGTGACTGGAAAGGGTGCTCCCGGCCCGCCCCCTACTTAGGCTTCGCTTTACCCTGATGCAGTTTGAACTATTGACCCCAAAGTGTTTTGGTTTGAAACTCAGCCAGAAGGTGGGGAAGGTGAACGTTGGTGTTTGGCAGCCCCGTTGGACTTGAACCAGGTCCTGGGCAGCCCGGCTGTGGCTGGAACGTCCCAGCAAGCTCTGAGGGCCCGGCTCCCAGGGTGCCCCCTCCCCCCCCCCCAATACACCTGCTGCCCTCTGAGACTTGAGAGGAATCCAGATCTGGGCAGAAGCAGGGGCTCCGGTGATGTGGCTGCTGCACGCCTCTGTCCAGCCCTTCCTGCGTCGAGGTCTGGCGAGGCATCCAGAAGGCCGATGCCCGGCTGGAGCCCACCTGGAGCCCGCCTGGAGCCCGCCTGGAGCCCGCCCGGCCGAGGGCACCTGGTGGCTGCGCAGAGAGCCCTAGCTGAGTTCTTACTGTCTCGGGTTCGTGTCCTGTTCCCGGAGCCTCACTCTGGGGCTGCTGCACTTCCAGCAAGGCAGTTGGATTTTTCTGGCAGAAGGATGTGGTTACATTTTTTTCTTATTCTTTAAGAAAAAAAAAAATGTTGTGTTTCTTCAGTGCTGCCTGCTGTTTCTGATAGCTTGATGCCTTCAGTTTATGAGCAGTGGGCTATGAGGCTCTTCTTGCCGGAATCCTGGTTGTGATGGACAGAGCCCGCTGGGCGGTTCGGTGATGCTGTTTATGTGGTGTCAGGGCTGCAGTGACTTCAGACAGGCTTCGGGCTTGCACACAGCCCTGGCAGTCTTTGCGGTGGCGCCCACGGCGATGCTGTCGCCGGTGTTGAACATGACTGAGGGTGTTGTGTGCAGCTCTCGCTCTGGTGGCTCGAGCGCTGTGGGGAGAGGGTAGGCCGGCTTCTTAGTCCTCTGATTAGATAGTGGAGGTGTCGGGGGCTTGGAGGGACAGTGACCTCCTCAACATGTGACACCAGTGCTCAGGGTCTGGTTTAAACACTGGGATCACTGGAATGGCTCCTAGGCCTTCTGACCCCCCCCACCCCAGGCAGGAGCCCCTGTCTTCCACCCCGCACCCTGGCTGTGCCAGCTTTAGGATGTGATGGCAGCTTCGTCTGTGCAGGTGTGGCCAGGATGTGGCAAGCTGAGCAGAAAGTTAATGCAGTGGGAATTTCGGGGAGTGAGTGGTTGGAGGGCAGGGCCGTGGGGGAGGGGGCGTGCACTCCGGACCCCCAGTGGGCGTCACCCCGCTGCTCCTGCCTGCCAGTGAACCCGGTGAGGTGTACCAGCAGGATGCCCATGTTTCTGGACCGTTTCCACTGTACATCTTCTGGGTACAGGTGCAGGCTTGGTCCCCCTGCCAGGCTGCAAGTCCTGTGCATGACGAAGCTCTCGTGCAGATGTAATTTCCCTTGCCGGCCTAGCACCCTGACCTTGGGCTGAGCCATGGTTTGGTGGGGCCTGCTGTGTTTCCTGGGGTCCCCTGGAGGTTCTGCTGCTGGAGGCTGGCATGTCCTTGTCTGAGGGAAGGGTACCTGGGCTGGAGATCATTTCTGAGTGAATCAGAGTGGGCCTGGGTTGGACAAGTTTGCCTTGAAGAGCCCGCCCAGATTGCCAAGTGAAAATGCGCTGGTCACCTGGTGTAGACAGAAAAGATGTGGCGTCTGGCTATCAGTCTTTCAAACATGAGCTTCTCAAAAAGAGAAAGCTGTGTTTCAGTCTTCATTTTATACTGCGAGAGAATAAATTTCCCTCCAGATCTCTGGAGTTTGAGGAAGCTGTGGGTGCCCTTGAGATTTCTGCGGTGTGCCTGTGAAGGAGTGTGCCGTGCCTTGTCACTGGAGCCCTCACTGCCACCCTGCCCTGGACCGAACCTGGGACTCGCTCTGTAGCTTAGCTGGGCTGGCTGCCCTCAATTCCCCTCTGTAAGTCTGTCTGGGGAGAATGGAGTCTAGGTAAATGAGTCGACTGCCCTTGCTGTTGAGTAGAACTTGCTGTGTTGAGCTAAGGCCTCTGTTGGCAAGTGCACGTTGCCTTTCAAAGTGCCAGCAAGGGTTCATGCTGCTGTGAGAGCCCAGCCAGCTTGCTCAGGCCAGCTGGGGCAGTCTCGGTTCCTAGGTACCACCAGCGACCGTGAGCGCCCCATCCTGCCGGGCCAGCTTCGCTGCCTTCACCGCCTTCCTCCTTTTGATGGCCACGGAAGCCCAAACTTCCCCCTGGACTGGTCCGACCCATGGTGGGACCACGATGCCTTTTAACTGCCGTAGTTTGTGCAGGGTGAATCTAAGATGTCAACCATGGCATCTTCGGGATCTGAGAAAGCAGTGCGGAAGCCCGCTTAGTCCCTTGGTGGCCAGTACTGGGCTGTTGAACCTATGAATCTTATTTCATTCTATGTCCATCCAGCAACCCCGAGGCCCAGAAAGTATAGGGAGCTTGTCCATCGGTGCTGGGCTGGGCCAGCCTGAGCGCTGGCTCTGTGGCCTCTCGGGAGGTGGACAGGGAGTGCTGTGAGCCATGGTGGCTCGTGCAGGCCTTGCCAAGCCGCCCAGGTCCATGGCAAGGGGGGTTTCCACATGTGCCCAGTAGCAGGCTGTTACCGTGCTGGTGGAGTTGCTCACTGCAGCCAGCTTGCTGTGAGCGTGTCTTAACGGTTAGCCTGGTCGTCCTGCGTGCATGCGGGGGGCACAGGTGTCTGCTTCCTGCCGCCAGGGGCTTTTCTGTCACTGTTTGGCATGTTGGTATTACTCCGTGTTTTAATCGAAGGCTGCAGATGTGTGATCTTAGTGCTAGCGTTCATCGTGGTGACGCGCGCTAGCAGCTTGTGTCGCTCACACGGCCTCTTGGCTGAGGCAGGCGCATCCCTTCTGAAATCCCTCCTTTTCTGCCTGCTGCTTGTCCATTGAGGCCCAGCCTGTGGCTTGATCCCTCACGCCTGCCCCTTCATGGCTGGCCTCCTCATGGCCAGCCCCCTCACGGCCTCCTCCCTCTCACGCTGACCCCCTCATGGCCAGCCCCATCACGGCCTGCCCCCTCACGGCCTCCTCCCCCTCACAGCTGACCCCCTCATGGCCAGCCCCATCACGGCCTCCTCCCCCTCACGGCTGGCCCTGTGTCTGCATTCTCAGCTCTCTTTGGCTCACATCAGCTCCTCTCACTTGCAAATCCTGCATGGTTTGAGCATCATGACTGGTCCTTGCAGCAGAGCTGGGAGTTGTGTGTTGACCGGTGGAGTTGCCCCTCATTGGCCAGATGGAAGGGTATTTTGAAACTTGTTGAAGGTGCACACAAGTAAAGGATCGGGGTGCCTTTTGGGTTGGTGGGTTGCTTGGAGGGGAGCTAAACAGTTACCACATGCTATTTGGGCGGAAATGAAATTTCTTTAGTGGAAGAAAAAGAATCCATGTGCTAAATACTGGTGATTATTTCAGGTTGACCATCTTGGCCTGTTTGATGCCCATTATAGAATCGGAATCTTTGAGAGGGCGCAGTGAGTGGGAGGCTGTCAGATGGAGAGCAGCGGTTCCTAAAGAGTGTGCCGGCACAGAACGTTGAGGGGTGCTGTTGACAGTGGTGGGGTGCCCCAGCCCTCGCCACAGTTAAGACTTGTCTAGGTCTGGCGTGGAGCCTAGGAATGTGCATTTCTGGCAGGTGTTGCATGGATGCAGGTGCTCTGGGCACTGACTGTAAAGGAAGTGCTGCTATAGAGAGAGAGAGAGAGAGAGAGAGTTCTCTGGCCATTGCTGAGGCTCAGGGGTTTGTGATTGAGAGAGAGGGAGAGAGAGAGAGAGAGAGATACACACACAAACACACACACACACCTGCTGGTTCACTCCCTGTTTGCCAAATGGCCGTAATGGTCATGATTGGGCCTGGCTGAAATCGGGAGCTAGGGGCTTGTCCAGATGGGTAAGCCTTGTACTTGGGCCACTGTCTGCTGCTTTTCCAAGGGGAATCTGTAGAGAGCTGGCTTGAAAGTGGAGCTGCTAGGACACGAATTGGGTTCCCATATTGGATGTCCATGTGGCAACTTTAGCTGCTGTGCAGCAAACCCGAGTGGAAGTTGATGCTGTCTTCACGTCCCTGTTGGAGATGGAGCATGTGGGGCCCGAGTTCCTGGCAGGGG